CTCATGCAATACATGTGATCCAGGTTGCTAAATGATTGTATGTGTGTAGCACTGTTATTGACTGCTTCTGTGGTGGCCTAAGCGGTACACTTAAGTGTATTCGTTCATCACCGATATAAATGAACAGATCCTTCGGTGCTGATCATTAAAAACGAGTTATTTAACTCCTGGACAAATTAACTTGTATTTTAGATTTCTCATGTCATGAAAAGTAAACGTAGTGATTTAATTATTTCTCTGAGAACATTCTTAGCTATATATCTCAACAACATGCAAGAATACGTGATTTAAAACAAAAATTGGTTTTCCAACTCTAGCTTACAAACGCAAAACTGGAGAAAATAGCAAAACACCAATCAAAGAGTAATAAGATACTCTTCTGACGCATACTTTTCTTGTTTAAAAAACAGAATCGCTCAGTTAATAATCAACCAAAAATAAATATGTGGTCTTTTATGATCATAAGCAACCAATCACTTTGTCATCATCGACAACTTGATCGAAAGTTGATCGGTTTTTACAACATATCATGTGCGATAAAACACACAATAAAAATCATTGGTGAGCACAAGCAGCACGCAACAAACTTCTTTCTTACCACTGCATGAGAGTCATTAAAAATGTATCTGCTTTTAATTACGACTTGTGGTCAGTAAAAGCGAACGAGTCATGCTTAGAGACTATAAACAACTGCACTTCACGTTTCATGTACAAAACGTGATGGGCATCAGTCGAAAAGCCCTTTGAGCGCCTCATAATTAATTTTGTTCGTCATCTTTTTCTCTTTGATCACGCCCCTAAGCGCCTCTTCCACCGTGTCGTAGGTCTCCCTCGGCTTTCTCTTCTTTGGTTCCCTTCGCCGTGTACTTGCTCGGACGGCTCTTTCCTTCAAGAAGTTGTCATACATCGAGTTCCACACCTTCTCCTTTTGCATCGCCTCCTCCTTTGTCAGAATAAAGCATTCCAGCTCATCAGAGTCAATCGATTCTTCCGTGCCACTGTCATCAAATTTGGTCAAGAAGTTTTCATCAATGGCAAGGGTGTCCTTCTCAGAGATATCGCTCGTTGGTGTAAGCATGCCCGATTCAATTGTCTTATCATCAACCATTTTCAACTTGTGCTTCGTTATGGGCGGATCCTCCTCCTTCTCGAGCCATACGTTGAAGAAGTCGCTCACCGTGAGATTCGCACTCTGCGTGTCACACATCTCCTTAAGGCGTATGTTAATCGTATGCGGAGAGACCCTCACCGCCTTAACAACCTCCAGTACACTTCGCTCCTCGCCATAAACACGCGATGCCGTAACCAATGCTGCACCACACAGATTATTCGGTCGCCTACCAACGACTATCCAATCGCGTTTCATCCGTGAAATTAATCTCATGGCAAAAAACAGAATCTTTTCGTTCTTCAGCTTCAACTTCGCGAAGAAACGGTGCAAGAAAAGCGACGGATCTATCAGAGGAACTTT